GGTTATGGCGGTCCGGAAAAACACCTAAGGTCGAGGCATCCCGTGGAGTACGCCAAATACGAGGCCAAAAAAAAGGGACGACAAGAAGTGCAAACCCAAATTTCTCGGTTTGCTAACAGAGGTAAGGGCGGCCTTTTTGCTTATAGCGACGAGCAAAATAGGCAAAAAATGGCCGAAATGATTTGTGAAGAAAATTTGCCATACATGTTTTCTGAAAAACTTGGTTTTATTGATTATTGTCAACAGGCATTAAACCCTCAAGCACGAGGTTTTTCAAGAAAAACAATTAAACGAGAAATTATTCGCCAGTATAAAATGGAAAAAATTAATTTGGCAAATTTTTTTCTCAATTTTAATTCTCGTGTTGCTATTTGTTCTGATATTTGGGGTGAAACTTCTCATAATTTGTCTTATATGGGTGTTACTTGTCATTGGATAGATAGTGATTGGATTATGCATAAACGTGTTCTTGCATTTCGTGATTTCAAAGATCAGCATACTGCTGAAAATATTTTCCTATTGCTTCAGAGTATTATGCGGGAATATAACTTATCTGAAAAAGTTTTTTCATTTGGTTTTGATAATGCTACTAATAATACTGCTGCTATTCCTAGACTTAGAGAAATTTGCCCACCGTCTACGACTATGGGTAGATTTCTGCATCAATGGTGTGCCTGTCATGTTTTAAATTTATGTGTTCAACAGGGACTACAAGCTATGGACGGAGTTTTGACAAATATTAAAGCAGGAATTAAAAAAATTTGGGGGCTCGTCTTATTTTGAGATCCTGGAAGATGTTCTGTAAGTCTAAGGGTAAAAAAGAAATAAGTTTTGCCAGAGATATCAACATTAGATGGAATAGTACTTACAAATTGATTACACAGATCCTAAGATATAAAGAGGAACTTGCTGAATTTTTTAGGGATGAACTTCGTATAATCATTAATCTTTTTGAATTTGTTATTGTTGAAAAATTGAATGCCGTATTAGAAGTTTTTAATAACGCAACTCTTACTTTTTCCCATGTTTACCAACCAACTACAAATACATTTTTTAAAGAGTGCATTACAATCGCAACATGTTTTCGTGAAAGTATGGCTGATCCAAATTTGTACTCTTATGTCTCTCCTATGAGAGATAAATGATGTACTTATTATTTGTACATTCCTGATATTTATAAAATAGGTATTATTTGTGATCCACGATTTAAGATTGAAAATTTTAAAATTCTAATTGAGTATTACTACAGTTGTTTTTTAGATAAAAATAGTTATTACTACAGCTATTTAGTAGAATGGAAAAATGAAAGAGATAATGCTATAACTCTTTTTGAGGATTTGTTTAAGGAATATCAAGGGTTATACGGTACTGTACAAGAAGAAACA